CACCCCAGCAGCTTCGTGAGTGGTACGCTGGGCATGGGAGGTCTGGGGGTGCTGGTCCTTGCGCTTACGTTCTCCGCACTGGTGAGCGCAGTGGGAGACGTGCAGACTGCCGCACGCTACGCACCGCTGCTTCGGCCGCCTGACTGACGCTTGGCGTGCACATTTTCCTGACGCCACTAAGATCGCTCGCTGGGGTGATTTGCTTAGGTCGGGGGTTGCTATCTTTGATCTGGATAATGATGCTATCCTTGTTGCTATGCATGCTGTGACTGCTAGTGCTGAGGGTGACTGTTACCTGTCTGTTCCGCTTGACCCGGGCATTGAGGCTGCTACTCTAGGTGCTAGTGATTCTGCTGTTCCAGGTGCTCGTGAGGCTGCTCTCTCAGGTACCGCATCGGCTCAGGTTCTACACACTTTCACCCTTGACTTAGGTGCATCCTGTTCCTTCTTTCGCGACTGCACCACACTCACGCCACTCAGCCGGCCAGTGGCAGTCCCCTGGCTGACCCCTCTGGGGGTCCGGTCCTTGCGCACTCCACCATGGTTCTGCCGTGTCCGGCGGTCCCGTCTGGCTCCCTGTCCGGTCTCCACCTCCTCTCGTTCTCCATGAACTTGGTGAGTGGAGCTGACTTTCACGATGTGTGGGTTAACCAGTTCACTCTTGGAGGCCAGCGGGTGACCCACTGTACGTGTACACGAATGGGCCGGCACCTGGCCGCGCTTACTCGTCACCCTAGGTCGAGCGCCTGTACACCCTGACTACTGCGTCTCCTCTTGTTACTACGTGTGGTCAGGTAGCTGCGTCTGGTCAGGTGTTTGCTGCAGCATCCTGGTCTGGTCCTGAGTCTGCCCCCTACTCGTGTCGCCTCCTGTCTCACCAGAATCTCCTCTGGCACCACCGCCTTGATCACCCCTCCTCGCCTCGTCTCCGATGCATGGCCTCTCGTTTTCTTGTCACTGGTCTTCCCCGGTCTCTCCCTCCCCTTCCCTCGGGGCCTGCCCCTACCTGCGTTCCTTGCGTTGAGGGGCGGCAGCGCGCCGCTCCTCACTCCTCCGAGTTCCCTCCGACGGAGGCTCCCCTGCAGACTCTTCACATGGACGTGTGGGGCCCAGCCCGCGTCCGTGGACAGGGTCACGGGTGTTACTTTCTGCTGGTCGTTGACGACTACTCGCGTTACACCACAGTCTTCCCCTTGCGCCGCAAGGGTGAGGTCACTGAGGTGCTGATAGACTGGATCCGCGCTGCCCGTCGCCAGCTCAGCGAGATTTTCGGCTCGGACCTACCTGTTCTGCGTCTGCACTCCGACAGAGGTGGAGAGTTTTCCTCCGACCTGCGGGCCTTCTGTTGTGCGGAGGGCATCCGCCAGACGTCCACACTTCCGACCTCTCCACAGCAAAACGGGATTGCTGAGCGCCGCATCGGCAAGGTCATGGACGTAGCTCGTACGTCCATGATTCATGCGGCTGCTCCCCATTTCCTGTGGCCGTTCGAGGTTTAGTACGCGGCGCATCAGCTCAACCTCCAGCCCGGGTCTCCATGCCGGAGACCAAACTTGCTCTGCGGTGGATTGGGAAGGTTGGTGATGCGTCTGCGTTCCGTGTCTGGGGATCTCGAGCTTTTGTCCGCGATTTGTCTGCGGACAAGCTGTCCTCTCGTGCTGTTCCCTGCGTCTTCCTTGGCTTCAGCCCTGACGCGCCAGGTTGGCAGTTTTACCACCCCACCTCACGCGGTATTCTGTCCTCTCAGGACGTCATGTTTGACGAGCCGGTTCCTTACTACCGTCTCTTCCCCTACCGCACTGCCCCACTCCCCCCCCCCCCCGCCGCTCTTCCTAGCACCAGGTCCTCTTGTGGTAGAACCCCTTCCCCCTCAGGGTCCTGCCCCCTCAGATGTGTGCCACGTAGACACAGTGGAGCCTGTCGAGGTAGCTGTTGACTCTAGTACTACTAGGGGTACTGAGCCTGCGGGTGCCGGGTTTGGGGGTGCTGAGCAAGGGGTTGCTGAGTCCGGGGGTCCTTAGCCTGGGGGTGCTGAGCCTGGGGGTGCTGAGCCTGGGGGTGCTGAGCCTGAGCGTGCGGAGCCTCGGGGTCTTGAGCTTGAGGGTGTTGAAAGGGGAGCCTCGAGGTCTTGCTGAGCGTCCTGAGCCTGCATCTCGCCCTGCGTCGCCTGTTCCCGCTGCTCGCACTGGTCGTCGTGTTCCGCGTCCGCGTCCTCCTCCTGTCCCCGGCACGCACCAAATGGCGATTCGTCCTTCCACCGCTCCACAGCGTGTCCCCCTGCCGTCTCCTCCTGCGTCCTTCCTTCCTGTCGGTACGGACCCAGAGTCTGACTCCCTCCGTTTTGCTAGTCCTACTGTCACGCGTCTCCTGGCCACTGTTGTCACTAACCCTTCCTTTGTGTCTATTGCTACGTCTGCTATTGTTGCTGAGCTTGTCGACTTTGCTGCTAGCTGTCGTCTAGACTACGCCGCTATTCTTGTTACTGAGTCTGTCTGTCCTCCGTCCGTCGTGGGTGAGCGTGCCCTTAGCACGAACGTCTTTGAGGACAAGCAAGAGGAGTTCCAGTGTTTTGCTGCTGCTTTACCTCATCTCGTGTCCATGCTACTTGCCTCTCAGGGAGACCCGGATGCTCCAGACATCCCGACCCCGCGCTCTTACGGAGAGGCGATATAGGTTCCCTACTCCTCTCAGTGGCAGACAGCCATTCACGGAGAGATGTTATCCTTGAAGTCCACAGGCACTTACGTCGACGGCGCTCCCCCTCCTGGGGCGAACATTGTCGATGGCATGTGGATTTTTAGGGTGAAGCGGCCGCCGGGTTCTCCGCCTATCTTCAAGGCGCGTTACGTTGCTCGATGCTTCAGTCAGCGGCAGGGAGTTGACTACTTTCGGACCTTCTCCCCCACCCCGAAGATGACCACTCTTCGGGTGCTGCTGCACGTCGCCGCTCAGCGTGACTACGAGCTTCACTCTCTTGACTTCAGCACAGCCTTTCTATAGGGCAGCCTGCACGAGGAGATCTGGCTGCACCGCCCACCTGGCTTCACTGGGTCGTTTCCTCCTGGTACCCAGTGGAGCCTCCGGCGGCCAGTCTACGGTCTCCGCCAGGCGCCCCATGAGTGGCATGACACACTGAGGACTACGCTTGTGGCTCTTGGGTTTGCTCCTTCCACTGCTGACCCGTCCCTGTCTTTGCGCACCGACACTTCGTTTCCTCCGTTCTACATCCTCGTGTATGTCGACGACTTGGTCTTTGCTAGTGCTGACACTGTTGGACTGGCCCACGTGAAGTCAGAGCTGCAGAAGAGACACACGTGCATAGACCTGGGTGAGTTGCGCAGCTGTCTTGGCTTGCAGATCACCTGGGACAGAGCACGGCGCACCATTACTTTGACTCAGTCACACATGGTGTAGCAAGTCCTTCAGCGCTTCAACTTCACGTATTCCTCGCCACAGGCCACTCCTCTGTCTACTCGCCACTCGCTCTTAGCTCTTCCTTTGGATGAGTCCGTAGAGCCGAGTGGCCGGTATCCAGAGTGTCTGCCTTTTGTACCTGATGACCTGCACTCGACCTGACCTGGCATACCCTCTTAGCATCCTAGCACGCTATGTTGCTCCTGGGAGACACCGACTAGAGCACATGGATGCAGCTAAGAGGGCGTTGCGCTAGCTGTGCAGTACGTCGGGCATGGGGCTCGTGCTTGGAGGACGGGCTCGAGTTGTTCTCACTGGTCACACAGACGCTTCTTGGGTTGACAACTTGGCTGCGGAGCGGTCGTCACAGGGTTACACCTTCAGCCTTGGTTCCGGCTCTGTTTCATGGCGGTCTACCCGGCTCTGTTTCTGTTCTCAGCTCCTGTTGTAAGGCTGAGATCTACGCTGGGGCCATGGCTGCACAGGAGTTATGCTGACTCACCTACTTGCTGACTGACTTGGGAGAGGCGCCTCGTTCTCCTCCAGTTCTGTACATCGACAACAAGGCCATGCTTGCCTTGTGTGAGGAGCACAGACTAGAGCACAGAACGAAGCATATTGCTTTGCGCTACTTCCTTGCTCGAGAGTTGTAGCAGCGTGGTCAGCTTCGTCATGGTTACGTGGCCACTCGGGCCAACACTACTGATATCTTTACCAAGGCACTTCAGCCGTGTGATCATCAGCGTTTTTGTACTATGTTAGGTTTTGTGCCTACCTGGCCTCACTTGCTCACCTCTTGACTTTGCTGGTGTTGTGATCTATATATACCTGCACCTACATGCTTACCCTTGCTAGGTTGAGATCTCAGTCTTGCTTGTTCACCTTGATTTATAACTCTGCATGTGAACTGGCCTTGTGGCCTTTTTTTTTACTTGTGCTTAGATTGCGTGGTGACGCCGTGATCCACCCGGAGCTTGACCTTGCCTTGTTCTCTTGCTTGTTCCCCACTTTGCCTATGGGGGTGTGTCAGAACTATATTGTAGGCTTTAGTGGGGCACTCCTTATAGGGTACAGTTGTTAAAGTTATATTTAATATATCCTGCTTGTTGTAGTACTATAGTATAGTTATCTCATTGTTTGCTTTGTGGTGCACCTGTTTGTTTGCTATATGTACCTTTGGTCCTAAAGTGAACCCAACCTTTCTCTCGCTTGGCACAAACTCTCTTGACCCCCGCTTGGCCTAGGTTACTAAGCCTAGGCCTTATAGCTACACCCGTCTCCTAGATTACGTTCGTTTGTTGACATGGTATAGAGCGATTAAGTTCATGACCTAAGTTAATCGGCCCACCCATTTATGGCACGGCGCTCGCTGCGACGGGCACGGCGGCGAGCCGGCCGCGTTTCCCTCGTCGCCAGCCCGTTGGTTTTTTTTCCCTCGTCGCCTGCCCGTTGCGTTTTCCCCCCGTCGCCAGCGCGTCGCGTTTCCCCCGTCGCCAGCCCGTCGCGTTTCCCCCATCGCCAGCCCGTCGCGTTTCCCCCGTCGTCAGCCCGTCGCATTTCCCCACCCTCACCACCTCTGCCCGCACCTACGCCTGCTGCCGAGTTTGCGTGAGAGTGGGGAAGGGGGGGGGGGGGGGGGGGGATGGCATCGGGAATGAAGAGGACGGCGACGGTGGCGGTCGTCGCGGCCCTTTCCCCCCCATCCCGTTTTCTTCCTTCCCTTTGCCTCGCTCCGCCCGTCATTCCCCCGGCCCCCTGCTCGTCACCTGCCCCCCCCCCCCCCCCCTCCCCCCCCCCCGTCGCGACTGTTCGCGTGTGCAGCGGCGGTCGCTGTGTGTGGGAGAGGGAGGAGGGGAAGGGATTGGCGGCGGACGCTGTGGGTGGGAGAGGGAAAGGGGGAAGGGAGTGGCGGCGGAATGCTGTGGGGGAGAGAGGAAAATGGGGAAGGGAGTGGCGGCGGAACAGCACCAGCGCCAGCCGCCAGCACCAGGCACCAGCATCAGCGCCACCCACCAGCACCAGGAACCAGCACCAGCACCGAAGCCAGTCACCAGCACCAGCACCGGCACCAGCGCCGTTACGCCAGCACCAGCCACCAGGACCAGCGCCAGCCGCCAGCACCAGGCACTTGCGCAAGCGCCAGCTGCCAGCACCAGGCACCAGCACCAGCGCCAACCCCGCCAGCAAAGAACCCCGCCAGCAGAGCACCTCGCTAGCAGAGAACCCCGCCAGTAGAGAACCCAGCCAGCAGAGAACCCAACCAGCAGAGAACCCCGCCAGCAGAGAACCCCGCCAGCAGAGAACCCTGCCAGCAGAGAACCCCGCCAGCAGAGAACCCCGCCAGCAGAGAATCCCGCCAGCAGATAACCCCGCCAGCAGAGAACCCCGCCAGCAGAGAACCCCGCCAGCAGAGAACCCCGCCAGCAGAGAACCCCGCCAGCAGAGAACCCCGCCAGCAGAGAACCCCGCTAGCAGAGAACCCCGCCAGTAGAGAACCCCGCCAGCAGAGAACCCCGCCAGCAGAGAACCCCGCCAGCAGAGAACCCCGCCAGCAGAGAACCCCGCCAGCAGAGAACCCCGCCAGCAGAGAACCCCGCCAGCAGAGAACCCTGCCAGCAGAGAATCCCGCCAGCAGAGAATCCTGCCAGCAGAGAACCCCGCCAGCAGAGAACCCCGCCAGCAGAGAACCCCGCCAGCAGAGAACCCCGCCAGCAGAGAACCCCGCCAATAGAGCACCACCCTCTGCCCTGCCTCTCCCCTCCCGCGGCTGCTACTGTGGGGGGTAGGTGGCGGGGACGTGGGGGTGGGAGGGCTGGCTGCAGTGTGAAGGACAGGGCAGAGACAACTGTGGGTGGGGCAGGGGTGTGGAGGAAGGAAGGGAGGGAGGTGGTGCGGATCCAGGGGGCGGCTGAAATGGGGGGTGAGGTTGAAGGAGGGTGTTTGATTGGGGGTGGGGATGTGGGGGTTAGTAAGAGGGGACCCTGCGGCCACCCCCCCACCTCCTCTCCTCATCCCCCACTCAACCCCCCTTTCGTAAAAGGGGGTTAGTAAGAGGGGACACCGCGGCCACCCCCCCACCTCTTCTCCTCATCCCCCACTCAACCCCCCTTTCGTAAAAGGGGGTTAGTAAGAGGGGACACCGCGGCCACCCCCCCACCTCCTCTCCTCATCACTCACTCATCTCCTCCTGTGTGATTATCTCCTCTTCTCTCCTCTCTCCCTCTCGCCGCCTCCCCTCACGTACCCCTCTGTCGTCTCCCACCGCGCCTGCTCTACCCCTTCAGGGGGTGTTGACTGCACTAGTTATTACTGCAAGCAGGCTAAGGGGGTGTGTCAAAGTTATATTTAATATATCCTACTTGCTGTAGTTACTATAGTGTAGTTATCTGATTGTTTGCTTGGTGGTGCACCTGTTTGTTTGCTATATGTACCTTTGGTCCTATAGTGAACCCAATAATTCTCTCTCTCGCTTGGCACAAAATCTCTCGACTCCCGCTTGGCCTAGGCTACTAAGCCTAGGCCTACTAGCTACACCCGTCGCCTAGATTACGTTCGTCTGTTGACAACAGTACTGTTAGGTTTTGCTTATACAAACCTTGTATTGTCCTGTTTCTAGTCATTCTAGTTTCCTACTTTGTAATAAGCATCGCAATACTTTTGGGTAAGAAATTTCATAAGCCCCACTAGGGTTAAGGTAAACATTTGGAAGAGTAGATCAAGTGGATGAGGCACATGTGATATGCGATGCATATGATATGAGGCACATATGATATGAGGCACATGAGATATGCGATGCATATCATATGAGGCACATATGATATGAGGCACATATGATATGAGGCACATGTGATATGCGATGCATATCATATGAGGCACATATGATATGCACATGTTAAAACTAGAGAGGTCAGCTAATTGCGAGAATTTGCCTGCTCTTTTAATGAAGAATCGATTTTCTTTCCTTGATCGTACCCACTTGCACAAATTTCTATCGAAGCACTACAGGATGAAATACACCATGCATCATCAAGCTCTAGATCGTGTCAACGCTGATGTGTACGAGCACTAGGGTGCCGTACTTCGAGCAAAACGATTTCCGTCAAAATCGAAGTCGCCGTCAACTTCGTTGAGCAGGCGTGAAGGTCAGTGCAGAGGAATTGGCCGATGTAGTGTGTGCAGAGAGTCTCTCTACAATGATCGAGAGCTAGACTACAGGGGGGTCGGCATGAACTCTAAGAGTGATCGTGGCTTCCTTAGCGTTCTCTAGCACTTCTGTGTTCACAGAACAAATTGGCAAGAGTTTCATTAGGGAAAGTTGAGATTATCGAAGGATAGCACTAGCAATGACAAGAATGGAACATTAGGAATCTAGCAACCTAGCAGGGCAGCTAGTCGGCCGCCAGCGCAGGATGGTCGACCACGTGCCAGCATTGCGTAGAGGAGCCGCGCCAGCGTTGCGGAAACGTGGCCTGCCAACAGAGTAGGGCGAGAGCGTGCCAGCGCTACAACAAGGCAGCTATCCAGCGTTGCACTGCAAACGACAACGGTGCACACGCGCGCACCTACTTTGCAGGTGCCTGCAGGTAGTCGGCCCGACGTGCACCGTCACGTGCATGTCAGCTGATGTTTGCACCTGATCTGCCACATCGACTTCAAGATACCAACCTGAAGTCACCTTCGCCATTGCAACCTCGACGACGTTCGAGTGCCTCCGCAGAACTCGTCGAGTAGGTTACCTGGTCGACCCTATCAACCACCCAGTGCGCGCCCTGGTCGACAAACTCTCCCATCAACCACGCGCCCGTCTAAGATCCTCCTGGTCGACGGCATGTCTGTCGACCAGCACTGTCAGTTGCTGTCGCAAAGCTCCTCTCGTCAATGGCCGCTCACGAGTCCCACGCAGGTCGATGGACTGCTCCATCGACCTCCCCTGTCAAACGAGGCTGCCGACTCTCAACGATGGCGGCATCGCAGCGATCGTCTGTACGTCGACAACCCCGTCGACCAGCACGCGTCGAACTCTGCAGTACTATCAGCCGCACCACCCGCACGTTCGACCAGGAAGTCAGCATTGCCCAAGTGAGGGCGGGGTCAACAACCCACTCCTGTCAACACTACCCAGCCGCACTTACGCTTGGGCACCCACCCCACGCGGCATAACTACATGGAGAAAACTCGTCCTCGGCGTGCACCCCACACACAACACGCCGTCACTGCACCAGCTGTGCACATTGTCGTCACCGTCGCCTACGTTGGCCAGGCGCACTAGGCCGTTTGCAATGGAGCACCAGTTGAAGGCCGGAAAATGCAGTGCCTTCATCAGGAAGTCGGCCGGCTGCTCGGTGGTCGGAATGTACCACAACACAAACTTCCTGCGCTTCACCATCTGCTGTAGCCAGGGGTAGCGTCGCTCTGCAGCGACTGCTTTAGCCCGTAGAGGCTCTTCAGCAGCTTGCACACCCGGCCGGTCCCGTCGTTGTAGTAGTCTGGCTGGTAAATGTACAGCAACCGGTCTAGCTTGCTCTGCAGGAAGGCATTCTTCATGTCGAGCTGCATCAGGATAAGGTGGGGGGAGGCAACGATGCTGAGGAAGATCCTCAGCGTGACATAGCTGCTCACCGACGCGCATGTCTTGTCATATTCAGAGTCATACACCTGCGTAAAGCCCTTCATGACTAGCCTCGCCGGCTCGACGGTGTCATCGATGTGGTACTTCGTCATCTGCACCCACCAGTTCTTCATGATGTTCACCTCGGGGGGGGGGGGGGGGCTCGACCAGCATCCACGTGTTGTTGCCGATGAGGCTACGGATCTCCTTGTCTATAGCGGCCTTCAACGCCTTGCCCTTCCAGCTCGCCAACGCCTCCTTCACCGTCATTATCGCGATGTTCCAGTGGTGCTCGCGGTCGGCGTGCACGTCGGGGTCAAGCTCTGGCAGATCGATGTCGTCCTCAGCGTCGTCAAGCTGCGTAGTGAAGGTGGCTGGTGGCAAGCAGGCGTGGTAAGTCAACATCTATCACATCGCTGTCGGTAGATTCCTCCCCTACCGACCGCTCCCCTTCGTCGTCGACACCCTCGTAGTCAACTAGCTGTTCCGCACGTGTCTGATCTTCGACCGGCTGCTCCCCCTCGTCGGCTCGCTTGCCGACTTCTCTTTCTTTCGACAGCTCCCCTGTCGGCCATCCTGTCTGCTGCTCCCCTGTCAGCAACACCTCTATCGCTGCCTCCTTCTCCACCAGCATCCCTACCTGCTGCTCCTATGTAGTCGACGGCTTCACATTCTTGCAACGAGCTCCGCGTCACTTCGCCCGCCGGCGATGCTGCTGGGCGGTGCCAGAGGCGACGCCTCAAATCTCCCCTCATTCCCAATGGCCGACAACAGTGTCGATGCAGGCAGATCGGCGATGAGGGTGGGAGGAGCAGGAAGGGGGAGAGGGGGAGGAACTTCTTTGACGTCCTCATAAGCAGACTCGTCGACCTCGGCAAGCAGAGGAAACGTGTCGTCTAAGTGTCCGTCAGCAAGTGTGCCTGCGTCCGTCCCGACGCCGGCCCGTACTTCACCTTCCACACCTCTTGCGATAGCGTCTCGGTGACGAGCTGGTTGTCGATCAGGTCTAGCACCTCCCAGCCCTTGCTGTCTGGCGACACCCCCAAGTTAAGCCCCCTCTGGGCCTTCGACGCCAGCTTCCCACCACGCTGCTGCTCGGGGACCATGAACTATACCATGCAGCCCCACACCCGCGCAAGCGATAAGGTTGGGCTTCTTGCTGGTCAGCATCTGGTACGGAGTGGTCCCTGGCGGCGTGGTTGACCCCTCCAAGCAGCTGCGTACCCAAACGGCCTGCCATAGAGCGAGGTGCCGCCAGTGGTGATGCATGCCCATGTGCAGCAACATCGTCTGCACCGACTCGACCGCCGTCCGCATCTCTTGCTCTACCATGCCGTTCTGGTGCGGAGAATAAGGGCATGCCATATTGTGGACGATGCACTTTCCGTCCACGAAGGTGATGAACCCCTTCCCAAGAAACTCCCCTCCCCTGTCCGGGCGGAGCATGAGCACCGACTTCTTCGTCTGTCGCTCCACCAACAGCGGCCACTTCTTGAACTCCCACAGTGCGTCGCCCTTCGTAGCGATCGGCTTCACCCACACATAATGAGTGTGGCGGTCCTTCAGCAGTTGGAAGTACAGGCTGTCGTCCTTGGCAGCCACCTGGAATGGCCCGCATAAGTCAATGTGCACGACAGTCATAGCCTCCTTGGCGTCCGAGCCCTCGTCGGGGAAGGTGTGCCGTGCCAGCTTCCCGTCGATGCACGAGACACACGACAAGTCCGCTCCGGTCGACGGCGTGATGTCGAGGCCGGTGGCGACTTCGTACTTCGCCGAGCTGTTGATTGTGTCGACGCCGACATGCGCAAGCCTCGCGTGCCACTGGTCGGGGGTCGACTTCGTTGCTGAGGCGATCGTCTGCAGAGCCACCACCTCTGTTGACTTTGACGACGGCTTCGTCGAGCAGGGGCAAAGGTCGGTTCAGAGGACGCTGCCAGTATAGCGTGCTCGACCGAGCACCTCGCCTGCATTCGACACAAGCAACTGCTCGTCCCCGTGGTCGTGCAGCTTTGCACCGTTCTCCTGCAACTGGCTGGCTTACGACACGTTCACCTGCACTTCCGGAACATAGAGCACGTCGTGGATGAGAACCCGCTTCCCGACCTCCCCTTGTAGAGCGACCCTTGATGGTCTGCAACGCCCCATTGAAGCCGTGCATGTGCTTCACATCACCACTTGACGCAATGTCTGCGAAGACCTCTCTCGTCCCCATGAGGTGGAGTGAACAACACCACCATCGGGTTGCACGGCGGCCGCGACCTTGAAAACCTCACATGCTTCCAGCGCAAGCGAGAGTTTCGGGTCCACCACGCCGACCATCAAGCACGTCGACCTCCCCGTCGCCACGGCCCTTGCTGCTGGGGGAGTCGACGTCCTTCATCGACGACGTATTCTTCGATGTCTG